ATCTGGCTATTGACGGCTATATTTTTGGCCATATCTAGCCGTCAATGACGACTAATATATGGCCATCAACGACAACCATATCTTCAGCCGTCATTGACAACTAGATGTCGTCGTTAGGGGTGGAAAAAAAAACCCGGAAACTGAACCGGACCGAAAATTCGATTTTATTTCGGTTTCGGTTCAGTTTCGATTCGGATATTAAAAAAAACCGGAAATCCGGTTCGGTTTTTGAAAAAAAGAAAATCGATTACCCGGAACTGGTTTTCTGAACCGAAATTTAAAAAAATTTATTTTACGTTTTTATTTTGCATTTGCATTTTGCAATATCCCTAACACTCTCAGTCTCTCACGCTCACGGTCTCACACTCTCACTCACTTTCACTTCAGTCTTNTAACTCAAATTTTTTTAATAATTTTGAGTAGCTAAACGATGACGTTTAAAATGTAAGAAAGTGGTAGGTGAAGCGTGAAGAATAATGTCCAGAATAATATAGTTAAAGTTTAATTTGGGAAATCATGAACATTCTTAAACACAAAATAAACTTATAAGATCCATGCCTTTTTCCACAAATTATAATAAAAAACCTCTAAACAAAAAGCATAATTCAACCTTAAAATAAATTAAATTAAAATGAGTAATACACGCACCTAAAACTGATAAAACAAAAAACGGAATTAATTGTGATACTTTGAGTAGCGAAAGCTTCAATAATTTCTGTCTTCAAAAGTTTTAAGAGCGAATAACATGAGCAAGAAAATAAGAGCATCTCCAAAAGACTCTTTATATGACACAAACTCTTTATTATAAAAAGTTTATCCATAGAAACAAGAGTTCAACATACTCTTTATTCTTTAAATATAAATTAAAGAGTGAGTTTGACTCTTTACCTTTAGAGAGTCAAATTTTAATTTATATCATAATTTTAAATAATAATTTGCAAGTTTTTATGTATTTTATTTATGATTTATTTTTCCTATTAAGTTTCTTTATTGAAAAAATATATTATCTCTCCTAAAAATTAAAGAATCTATTAGATTTGAATAAAAATTTGTTCTTTAAATTTAAAAATCAATAAAGATACTCTTTATTTACATGAAATATACTCTTTAAAAATAAAGAGTACCATTAGAGATGCTCTAAGAGAGTAAAAAATTTTGGGAATAAAATCATAAAATGCTGGAGTCATGGAGAAGAGTGGAGAGAGTTTTCAACTGTTAATATGATGTGGGCATGAAATATATATATTAATAGCAAGTTTTTTGTGGGTCTGGATATATGTATAATAGTTCCCATTTTTTAGAACTCTAAGGATAATAGCAATTTTTTGTGAGCCTATATATTAGCAACTTTTTCAAAAAAAAAATATCTAAGGCCTGCCCTCAAAGGGGCTGGGTTCGCCCTTAGGTCCAACATGAGTTCCTGAGTTAGAATCACCCCCAGACACTAATAAGAGTGACTATTAGGAGGATTTACTCAATCATTTACTTCAAGGCTCCGAAAGATTAGTTAAGATGTGCGTAAGTCCGAACAGCCTTGGTCACCCCCCCAAAAAAAAAAAAAAAAAAAACTTGCATGTGTATGAAAATTGATTCAGCTCCCTTATTGACAATTCTGCTCCAAGTGCAATCCTATTTTTGTGCCGGCAAAGTACTTTAGTTTGGACCTGTAAAAACCCAACAACTAAATTTGGGCTTGGCAAGCTTCTGTTTAGTTTGGACCAATAAAAACCCAATAGCTACTTTTGGGCTTGGCAAGTTTCAGTCATAAAGATCAACCATACAAATCCTTGATGAATTTTTGATGAATTCATATGACTGCAAATTATAATATCATTCAAGTTAGCTTTAATGCTTTATGGATTTTAATGTTGCTGTGGGTTGGTGAATGGCTTTTCCCTTTTCGTTCTTCTTTGATGCGTTGATTTTGTGGTATATTTGGTAAACGAAGTGACCCTAGTGTTGGTTACACGACACTTTGAAGTGAAGGTTCAGAAGAAAATTTTGGGCTGCCTAACTCCAACGACTTTTGAATAATTATAATATTTCTTGAAAACAAGATTTGATTTCTGGAATGGGTCAATTTGTAATATTTGAATCATCTGATTCATTAACCTAGTTAGAAAGTTGGTGGTCCTCTCAAAATTTCAATACAAATCCAAAGAAAATAATGGAATGGTTGGTGGTGGGTTTCGGATAATGTGTTGTGAAAGAAATTTATGAAAGTAGATATATAGATTATGACAACTCAATTGTAAATTGTGGGTGAAAGAAGATATATGTCATTCTCCATACAAGGCAACTCACATGGGATTCTCTATCTCACCTTCATGGTTGTGTATATTTGATAATATGATGAACTCGGTCCCCAAAATATCAATTTTAATTGATTTATAAGTGATTATATATTACATATTTGATTTTCAAATGGTTATGTTATATTTAGTGTTACCAGCACTCTAGCAGGGAATTTAAGAGGCAACCATCATTTTATATATGATGTGATGGTGATTGAACAACAAATTTTGAGAGTATTCAATATTTATCACAAGTTTAGATAGTATAGAGAAATTATAGAGATCATAGCAAAGTCACAATCCTATGTGGATAACATTTTCATTATAATAAAAAAATATGGTTAATAACAATAATTCCCTTTACCCATAATTAAATAATAAAAATCCCTCTATAGTTATAGTAATAGTAGAGTTGTCCTTTTTTTTTTTTTTTAAATAAAAGAGAAGAGATCTTTTGTATAGTAAACTTGCATGTGTAAACCACCACTCGATCGCCTGATGGTAAAAGAGCAAAGGATTTCAACCAGTTGCAAACTCAGAATTTTTGCCCAGGGGGCCTTTCGTAGTTCTGTCATTATTTGTTAAACAACTAGTGAAAACTTGAAAAAATCCACTAAACCTTAAGTAAATGAAATAATACAATATCAAGAACTTGAAAGGAAAGAAGACAATAACACAATACTTTTCTACTTGAATAAATCTATAAAAAGTAAAACCTTAAGCAAATGTGTTGAAAATACCATCCAGTTCACAAGGAAACACAAGAAAATTTTTATGTGGAAAAACCTCTTCTATACGAAGAGAACAAAAAACTACGGGAATCTAACGATCCACTTAAATCCAATATAATCAAAAGAATTTACAGCAACCATAATCCACCAAAAATGTCCCACACAAATTTTTTATTTCTTTATTGATTTTTTGGCTTCCAAAGGTTATAATATAAATTTTTATGACTTTGATCAGACCTAGCTTAAGTTAAAGTCAACCAAAACTTAAATTAAGTCAACGTTATGTTGACTTTTAGTATGAATTAATAAAAAAAGGAAAAATTTTCTTGGTATAAATATAGATAACAACTCAATTTTTTTTTTTTAATAATTCTGAGTAGCTAAACGATAACATTTAAAATGTAAGAAAGTAGTGGGTGAAGGGTAAAGAATAATGTCCAAAAAAATATGGTTAATGTTTAATTTGAGAAAGCAGGAACATTCTTAAACACAAAACAAACTTACAAGATCCATGCATTTTTCTATCAGATTAGAATAAAAAACCTCTAAAAAAACAAGCATAATTCAATATTAAAATAAACTAAATTGAAATGAGTAATACACATACCTAAAACTGATAAAACAGAAAACAGAGTTAATTGTGATACTTTGAGTAGTGAAAGATTCAACAATTTCTGTCTTCAAAAGTTTTAAGAGCGAATATGATGAGAAAGAGAAAGAGAGAATAAAAACATCTCCAAAGGACTCTTTATATAACCAAAACTCTTTATTATAAAAGAGTTTATCCATAGAAACAAAAGTCCAATAGACTCTTTATTCTTTAAATATAAATTAAAGAGTGAGTTTGACTCTCCATATTTAGAGAATCAAATTTCACTTTCTATCATAATTTTAAATAATAAATTGCAAGTTTCCATCCATTTTATTTATAATTTATCTCTCCTATTAAGTTTCTTTCTTGAAAAAACATATTCTCTCTCCTAAAAATTAAAGAGTCTATTGGATTTGAATAAAAATTTTGTTTTTTATATTTAAAAATCAATGAAGATACTCTTTATTTACATGAAATATGATATTTAAAATAAAGAACACTGTTGGAGATGCTTTAAGATAGTAAAGAATTTTGGGGATAAAATCATAAAATGCTGGAGTCATGGAGAAGAGTGAAAAGAGTTTGAAACTTTTAATATAATGTAAGCTTGAAATATATATATTAATAGCAAGTTTTTAGTGGGCTTAGATATATATATATATATAGTTCTCATTTTTTAAAAGTCTGAGGGTATGCCTAGATAAGTTGATATATATATATTAGCAACTTTAAAAAAAAAAAAAAAAAAAAAAATCTAAAGCCTACCCTCGAAGGGGTTGGGTTCGCCCCTGGGTCCAACATGAGTTTCTGAGTTAGAATCACCTCGAAAGATTAATTGAGTTACGACATAAGCTTGAACAGCCTTGGTCACCAAAAGAACAAAAAAAAAAAAAATATTTGCATGTATATGAAAATTGATTCAGCTCCCTTATTGACAATTCTGCTCCAAGTGCAATCTTATTTTTATGCCGGCAAAGTACTTTAGTTTGGACCTGTAAAAACCCAACAACTAAATTTGGGCTTGGCAAGCTTCTGTTTAGTTTGGACCAATAAAAACCCAATAGCTACTTTTGGGGTTGGCAAGTTTCAGTTATAAAGATCGACCACTCAAATCCTTAATGAATTTTTGATGAATTCATATGACTGCAAATTATAATATCATTCAAGTTAGCTTTAATGCTTTATGGATTTTGTAGAGCCACCAACGCTTCTAAGTAAAATCCATTAGAAACAGTTTCCTGTCATAATAATTTTCTGAGCTGACTATTTCGATTTTCGTGTGGTAGCAAAGCAACTAGGGGTTACCTTTCCCAGTTTTAGTTGTGACTTGTGAAGCAGAACAAGATCTACAGTTTCAAACCTTGTTACAGTTACATAGTGATAAGTCATTCAAACATTGAGGCTCTATTATCAATCGAATTCTATAGGTTGTCTTGGAGGAGACGAGACGTACACATTGAGGCTCAAAAGCAAATAATAACAACTTTGGCAACATCTCAAGGCATGGAGACTGAAACGTAAAACAATCAAAGGTGTTTATTATGGTGACAGTGCTAGATCAGATTTTCATCTGTTGGCAAACATTGCCAGTGTTCCATTTGTTAAACTAAATCACTCCCTGAGGTATTTGGATTAGTGAAAATGGTATAAAGTTAGGTTGCACACTAGAAATCTCCAATGAGAACTTAGCCAAGCATTGACCTTAAGGGTTGATAACTCATGCAGCAGCAGAGATACAATCGATTGCCTGTTTGCATATGCCAGTCATTGTTGCTTCAGGCCCATAAACCTGTAAGAAAACACAACACATTTCAGAGGTGAGTCTTTTCCTGAGTTAAAGAAGTTTGACAAAATGTAGGAAATTCTCTGAAGATTTTAGTAAAAAGGTACCTCAAGAGGAATGCCAATCTCCTCTCCAAGTGATCGCATTTTTGCAAGACCCCTCTGGTAATTAGGACCTCCTCTCCTCACATATATGTGCATCCTTGCTGCTTTAAGCTTCGATTCCTGAGAAATAAAAACTCCATACTCAATTATCATTGTTGAATAGAGGACATGAATGAAGTTAAAGCACAACTCAATCTGGTTAAACTTACCTTCTCCTTCAGGGCTCGGATTATGCCATTAAATGTAGCAGCTACATCAGTAAAGTTAGCTATTCCGCCTCCAATCACAAGGGCTCTCTTACGGCCATCAGGATCAGCAGTAGCACACTGCACAGGAAATATGTATTTATAGCAACAAATAGGAAATACACAAACAGATAATGAGGGTGTGTCCAAGTGAGCATATTCAAATTTATTCCTAATTCATTTTACATCAGACAGTTTTTTGTTAATTCTGGCAAATTTTCTCAAACACTATTGAAGCATTTACTAAGTATATGATGTATTCAGAAAACAAATAGAGATAAGATTAACTGATCAACAATTAAAACAATATGCCACCGCTTGAATAATACAATAACATTAAGCTAAGAATGAAGAGAAGTCCTTACATCAATTACAACTCTGGCATACTGCAGCACCTCTTCCTCATTGGGTGCTCCACTGTATTCTGCATAATTGCCAAGCTCGGAAGCATAACCAAGATCTCCAACCTGATTCAGCAATAAAAGTAAACAAGTTAATAGCTAACGAGACAACAAATCCCTCAAACTAACAGGGTCTTTAATCCCCTTGTAACCCTGAGTCCAATCAATGAGAAATCATACCGTATCTGCATAAATGACACTTGCACCTCCTCCAGCAACCATAGTCCAAATGCGTCCCTTAGGGTTCAAAACTGTGAATTTCAAAGATGCACTTGTCTGCAATCAAATACAAAAAATTTAAGAACTTTTTACAAGCTCCGCACGGATAGAACTATTTAATGAATGGCATTACAATTGATTAACTTGCTGTGGGTACCTTCTCATCTAGCCCATGAATAAAGCTTTCAGTCGCGCTCATTACTCTTCCAAATGGCATAGGAAATTCTATATCACCCCACCTGAAAAAGCAAAGTTTCACAAGTTATTTTAACTTACACAATAATCATGCAGGGGAAGGGGAAAGTAAAACTACCCTATAGAATATTAGGCCAAGATATACACTGAAAAAGAGAATACGGAATATACTTTTTGAAGTTCTTAAAAGCAGCAGTGTCATCCAGCTCGCCCCTCATATCCAAGGGATAAGGCTTTCCATCAACTAAAGTGAAAGGATTCATCTCTAGGAAGGTGAAGTCAACATCTGGCAAATAGAAATTGAGAAGTTAACGACAAAAACTCACAGCTAACAGAATCATCTAGTATACCATGCATCTGTTGAAGGTCTTTAATATACCTTGAAATAGAGTGAAAACCACTTTAATGAACTCCTCAATTTCTCCTCTGATCTGGATAGGCAAACATAATTTATGTCCATTATTTCAAATAAAATTGTATGATTGCATTGTATAAATGACACATTATATATTATTTTGATGATGAATAAGGTATCATAAGCAGCTTTTATTTATTTGTTATTTTCTGTTGGAGGGGAAAACCAGCAGTGGATAGAAAGATAAAGCAGTGTTGAAGTGAAACCTAATGCCAGAATATGGTGAACAAGCAATGTGTGACCAAGGAGCAGAAATAAACAGCCAAATCATTGATTTCAGAGAAATTACCTCCAATGGAAGGGTTGCCACAAGTGGAGCACATGATTCTGAGGCAAGAGGAATCCCCGTTGGGACATATATTGTCTTAACCTGGAAGGATAAGACCCTTACTAGGTTATGGTTCTGTAAGGCAAGCCAACATGAGAGAGTAAAAAGATTGATTAAATAACATTTAGAAGTACCTTATCCCAGTTCTCTTCAATTTCAATTCCTCCACATTCTGAAAAGCTTATGCTGCACCCAAGTCGCTCTGAGACAATATTAAGGTAAAACTCTTCATTGTGAGGGATGAAGGGTTCAATGATGAATGTTGTTATGGGTCCTTTACATCCTCCCATCTCCACCTGAAAACCAAGAATAACAAACGTGAGATGAACAATTAAATTATCAAACTCGACGAATGCCACGTATAACAAATAAGAAGTCATAGCTGAAAAGGAAAAAAACATTACAGTGAATGACTCAGGAAAAATAATACCTGTTTGCCCAAGCGCTCTTTCACAAAGGTTGCAACTTGAGAAATATCCAGATTTAAGGCAACCAAACCACTCTTCCCACGTTTGCCAAACAACATGTCGGGTTTCACAACTAGTTTACATGCTGATAGCCAGGGTTCTCTCTCTACTAACTCAGCGAAATCAGTTGACTCCGTTACCTATCACATAAACGCATCGTTTTCAAATTTTATTTATAACCTAAAGACATAATTCAAAGCATCAAGCCAAGATTTCAGTAATTCCTTCACTTATTCAATTAAATTACATAAACCCTAAACATTTGGAACACACAAGCAAGTTTCAATATCCTACTGAAGCTGTACCATCAGAAACCGGCTTCAATCTTCATACACAAATTCGTATAAGCCTATACACAGGGCTAAAATATTGAAACAAACTAACAACTACTTTAGACTAACAATCTAACTGCAAAAGCAACTAAGATCAGATTTCAAAAATCAAACCGGAACAGAACATAGAAAAGACTCGCAAATTCAACAGAATATGAAACAGGTTGATTTAAATAAAACAAATAAATTCAACAAATCAGAGGTCAAAAGCATAATCCATTAACTAAAGACGCATAGGAAGAAAAATAAAAACTAAAATGATGGAAGGAACACTCACTTGTGCAGACTTAATAGGCAATTCGCGACCAGAGAGCCTCTTAAAGTGCTCCTTCAACAATCTCTTGGAATCATACTCTCTGATCTTCTTGCGTGCCATTTCTCCTCGATCTGTTTCTCACCTAAACCACAAATTTGAACACTAATTTTCAGATCTACATTCCAGCTTTCGAATACGACAGATCTGAACTCTGCATTTCGAATTTAAAACTATACCTTGAAAAACAAACGATGGCTTGTGGTAGGTAGCTAGTTAGCAAACAGAAGCCAAATCTTGGTCTGAGTTTGGTTAATGGTGCGGTATTTATAGAGGGAATGGGTTGATTAAAAAATAGTTTGTAGTTTATACTGTTCCGCGGGAAAGTATTAGACGCAGACTGATGAACACGTGGGGCACCTAACATTTTTTTCTTTAGGAGATGATTGGATGTAACGCCCAGGTGGATCACCGTTGATTGCAAGATTCCCATTTTTGAATGCAGTTACCTTATTTTGACGAACAGATACAGAAAGAGGCATCATATGATATGGTTACTATATAATTTTCATGGTTTAATGAGATATAATTGAAAACTAATTATCACTTTTTTAATTGAAAAGTATGAGACCACGTGCAATTTTTTTAAAAATAAAATATTACGCATACAAAACGCATATATAATTTATTATTTATTATTAAAATTTTACAATGCTATGTGGCAGTCTCGTATATGTAAATTGACCTGAGATTTGGATGTGGTTGGTAGTTATGAGTTATGACTGTTGACTCTATAAAAAAACAAATAAATGTAGGTCCAAGATTCTGGTAAAAATCTTTTCATCTTAATAGTGGTGGTTATGAAAATACGATGTGATTCAAGAACGATAATAATTTATTTATTTAAGAGATTTTGAGTTTGAATCGTTCTTCAGAAGTTAATAGGAATAATTAGTAGAGCTTTTATTTGATAAGTAATTTTAGGATCCTGAAAGATTAGTTGATGTATACATAAGCTAACCTGAATATCCGACTATAAAAAAAAAAGAAAAAAAATTGCATATTAGATGAAAGCTTCTAGACTAATGTAAAATAGCTGAAATTGAAACAAAATGATGTACAGTAATGAATGATGGTTGGTTCCCAAGCGGACGGTTATGGATATTGACATCAATTAAATGATGAAACGAAAACATAGCTTAAAATGTGAAGTTTCAACTTCATTTGTTTTTCATGGGTTACTTCAATGGAAATAGGCCCACTTTACATTGGTAGGTGCTAGGTAGGTAGTAGAATCCATTTATTTATTTCTCTTTAAAACTTACGCATAACATAAAAAGAAGATGGCAAATTCAAATTGTTGAAGGTTAGATGGTTTTTCTTTGGTTTTGTACCAAAAACGTTGGGATATTTTGAAGGAGGATCTTATCAAAGTTTTTAAGGGTTTTTTTTTACACCACAAACTCCACTTCTATTTATTTAATTTGAAAAAAAAAAACTAAGTGATTTTTGGCCTTAAAATCAACATGGCTAACCAAAAAGGCAATCAACACTCACCAAGGGGAATTGCATGCCTTGATTAGTAAATTAGGTTGTGGGATGAGGAAGTGGCCTTTGAAATGTTTGAGGTGGTAATCCTATTCCATCCTAGGTCGTTGAGTTTTGAAATTGTTCAAAGAAGGTTTCCAAATTGATATCAATCCCCCTCTCGTATTCTACGTAAAAGAAATATGGAATCTTCTGATCACCTCTTCTTGAATTATAATTTTTCTTTAAGATTATCGAACAAACTTCTCCAAACGGCAAAAATTGAGTCCAACCTCTTATGGTGACTTTCTTTTTTCAGTTTTGATAAAAGAGTCTTGTGGAATCGAATATGGGTCTAAGCTTAAACCAATACTATTCATAAACTTTATCACTGCATCAGTATTCTTGAAACTTAAACCCACTCAACTCATCCTGTACAGCACAATCAAGGCTCACTAGAGAGAACAAAGTATAAACTCATTCACTGGCCAATAACCTTCAATTAGCCTATGACTGACTGCTTCAAGCCTCAGCTACTCAAAAACCACAATCCACATGACGACTACTAACTTGACCTCCATATAAAAACACTTAACGACTACCACTACTTCCATTAGCTTAGTTTTACATATTTCAAATGTATATTGCTCCTCACAAAATGTCCCCGTAAGGATCATGCCAATCATTTGTGCTTGTGTTTGAGATCTATAAGTTGTGCAGTCCAAACATTCACAACCCCAACTACAGTAATCTAAGCTGGTAATAAGTTAGCTCTACCCAGATTCCTTAATGCAACCATAACTACAAAAATTATACAGAGAACAGCCCTCTCCCCCCAACCCCACAACAACAACAAAAAGAGAAAAAAAAAAAAAAAAAGAAGTTATGATTACATTTGATCCACCATAGAAGGTAATTTACAGGAATATAAACACAAATAACAGCAGAATCATTTAGAACTATCACTACCGCATCATGTTCCTCCACTTGTCCTTCAAATCAACCTAAACACAATGAAGCATGACATCAATAAAAAAGAATAACAATGGAAAAAAAAAAGAGCAAACAAATACATTGAAGATCAATATACAGCAAAATTACCTCAGTTCTCTCTGCAAATGCGTCAGGGTCGGATTTCAGGATGACCTTCCAGTTTCCTGTACCGTACCTTCACCATAAAGCAAAACCAAGAATCAGCACTCAGAAGTAACTAACCACATCTGCACCCCCCACCTCGCCATATAATTCTCACAGAACAGACACACACAAAAAGACTTGAGGCATGGAACACACTTAGAATTGAATGATTTCCAAGAGAAAACAACAAAACTCAAATGAATAACAAGTCCAGATTTGTCATTGCTTTGCCAAAACAGAAAAACATACTTTTGGACGCCATTCCTTAAAGCTTCCTCTTCTTCTAAACTCCATCTTTTCTTTTTTCTCCTTCTAATGAGTTTTGTAATTTCATGCTTCTTCAATGGAGAAACAGCCCTTCTTTTTGGGCTAGGTAAGTGAAATCTATGAACATGATTGGATGTTCCTCCAGGTGAGTCATCAATAGAATCACTCCACTACAAAAAGTTTCAAAATGCAACATAGTTAAAAGTTAAAACATACCAAATGTAGAAAACAGGATTCAGAGCACAAAACATACAAATCAAGACAACTTCAAAGTCCTAACAAGATGTCAAATATAAACTGATGTATTTCTTTGTCAAAGTAAATAAAAAAAAATGTTTTACAACAACAAAACAAGGAGCAGCCATTCTCCAAACTTATTTCACCTACTGGCAGATCTAACTGATCTGCATTAGTAATCAAACAAAATGGATTTATAAACTGGTTGAAGAAAACTCTGATCTGGAGCAAACAAATAAATATAACACTTATGCTCAGTAACTGGATAGATGATAAGATCCTTCCAGTTTATAATTTCACATACTATCCACAGACATTTGCAGGAGGCAATTAAGTATACTCAGTTAAAAGAATCTAGGAAGCAATCATTACATATCAAACTAAATTCTCTAAAGAGCTACTTTTTTAACACAGTCAATTCTTATCAGCATCAAATATATTAATAAGCATTTGAAATTTTTTTAATATCCCCAAGAGAAAGCCTACTTGCTCAATAATTTGCCTCTATTTACCTCAAATAATTTATTGAGCAAAAAAAAATTATGGAGCACTCAAGAAATATGCCCATTTTTTCATTCTCAGCAAAGTATTTTAAACAGGAAATTACTTTATTTAACCAACATTCACACAACAAATTACAGAAACTTATCGAACTCCTGAAAAGTTAACCACCTAATCAATGTAATGACTTTTTGTATCCTTATGTGTATATATAAGAAAAAGACCCTAGATTCAAATTACTCTCCACTCACTTTTCACTTCCCTTCCTCCACTCTCTTAGCATGTCTTTCTTCTCTAAAAAGCCATTGAAAAATGAAAGTAATTGAAGAGACAATGTGCAAGAAATACAAGTAATGGGAAATGATCCCCTTATTTGTATTTTTGTTTTTTGCGAGTAACATAAGAGAATTACGAGTACTCGCAAAGGAGAAAATTCCCCTTTACTTGTAAAACTTGTACGATTATAGGGGAAAATTTTCCTCCTTACTGTAGAAGTTATGCCAATAAAGGGGAATCTTTCCCCCTTAAACTTGTAAAACTTGTACGAGTATAGGGGAAAATTTTCTTCCTTACTGTAGAAGTTATGCCAATAAAGGGGAATCTTTCCCCCTTAACTTGTACAATTGGTACTTGTAAGGGGGAAAATCTTCCCTTACACTCATACAACTTCTACAAGAAAAGGGGTAATTCCCTTTTCCACGTTGAAGGAAGAAAATTCCTTTTAACTAGTACAAATTAAGAGGGAAAAATTTCCCTTTACTTGCATAACGTCTTTGAGCAATGTATAAGGGGAAAGTTTCCCATTTACAAGTACAAGTTAAAGAGGAAAAATTCCTCTTTACTAGTACAACTTGTATGAGTAAAAGGGAAACTTTTCCCCCATACTTGTACAAATTATACGCTTGTAAACTTTTGACGAGTGTTGGACTAAAAATAAAGACCTTAGGGGGCCCAAATGAAGAGACAATTATGAAGCCTCATAGGCCAAGCCCATGAACAAAGATGTTAGCAAAAATAATATGATCTAGGAAAGGCAAAGAAGCCCAATCTACATGTCAAAGAGTCCAATTCACATGGCTAAAATCGATAAAACCCAATTCCAATTAGGAAAGTGGGAGCAAAAGTGGGCTATTATCATAAACATGCCCCATTTTCCACAAAAATATTCCCATTATGAAGAAAGTGTCCCATCATGCCTTCAGCTTAGGAGTTATGAGACAATTTCTTCATAATGGGACATTTTTGTTGAAAATGGGTCATGTTTGTGATAATGAGCCACTTTCCTTATTCTTAAGAAAGTGGATTTTGTCCATTCTAGCCATACAGATTAGACTCCTTGACAAATGGATTAGACTGTTTTGCATTTCTCGGCCATCTTATTTTTAATGGGCTGACATCTTTGTTCTTGGGCTTGGCCTATGAGACTTTATATTTGTCTCTAGATTTAGGCCTCCTAAAACCTATATTTTTGGTCCAACAAGAAGTATTGGTGAATATTTCATTTGAAATCAATTATTCAAATTTTCTTTTAATTTATAATTTTCGTGTGTAAATAATATTCTTTATTGTATTTCTATGCAGATTTACGCCTAATGAATAAGAGTATAATAGTCAAAATTGAGAAAAGGAAATCAGTCTAGATTGAGGAAGGAAAAATTCATGATTACAAGTACCCCATGGATTAGTGTTTCAATGAATTTGTTACTAGTAAGGGTTTTCACTATAAGAAAACTTTGTGAAAATGAGTCGTGGATTAGTGGGACAAAGATTTAGTTTTGAATTTAGTAGGATTTGAGAGAGACTTGAATCCAAAGGTAAGAAAATAGTTGAATAAAGAGAATGAAGGATTGATATATATATTCAAGGGTATAATAGTAACAATTGAATTTAGTTGTAAAAATTTTCAAAAGTTTCAAATGTTGGTTAATGTTTAATTTGTTGAGTGAATAGTGGTGAAATAAAGTAATTTCCAAGTTTAAAGAGCTCAAGTTCACGTTAATGTATCTAAGCATAAGTGAGTTTAGGTTTTCAATCTTAGAAATTAAGACAAAGACAATCTAATAAGTGGGGACACTTTCAGTGAGAGGCACCCTTTAAGATCTGAACACAAGCAAAATCAAACACTAACCTACAACCAGCAAAAACAAGCACAAAAATGCATTTCTACAGCAATAATGATTCTCCACAGGAAATAATAAATAAATAAATAGACAGATAACAGATGTCAGCATAATTCCAGGACGACCATATGTTTGCATAAAAACAAGATGAGTTTAAACCAGATAACTTTGACAAGGGAAACAAATGAATGCACTCAAAATGGCTACGCGCGCCATTGCATGACAGAATGCAATAGCCAAAATAAATTGACAAAAAGCATAAACCAAAGCACAAAGACAAACCTCATAGGTTTGTGCAGTACTATTCCGCTCCATCAAGCCGGGTTTAGGTGCATTATTCTGATGGCTGCAAGATTGATTTCCATGATTATCCTTATTAGCTTGAACAGTTTCAACACCAGTATTTACAGATGGATACAGCACATCTTTATCCACATTATTCTGCTTTTCGACTGACGGCTCATGATTCTGTTTTTCTCTTGCCATATCAGAAACCACAGCTTCAGCCCTGAGTACAGCATCTGGAAGAGGGTCTGTCACCATTGCTTGTAACTCCAAAGAACTAGATTTAAGTGCTTCTATCACTCTGCTGACTTCAGGGGCGGGCACGGTGTCATACTTTCCACATGATGCATCTGTGCCTAATTCCTCATTATCAGAGATCTTAATTGATCCTCTAATACGTCTATGCAAAGCAATATGTTTACGCTTTTGCAGCACATTTCCGCCCAGAATTCCTATAGCAAAGTATGCATATTATGTTGTAAGAACAATCCATATAAACAATAACATGCTAACAGCAAGTTACTAGGTAAGGCAGAATTCGAGGAAAAACAATACAAAAATTTAAAAACCAATTACATTTTCCCATGAATTCCTAAAGTTACGTATGCAGGTTAAGTTGTAATAAGAACCCATATCAACTATATCATGCTAACAGCAAACTTAACAAGACAACAATTAAAAACCCAACAGTGAATGCATCCATAGAAAGAAATTGCAAATCAAGTAGTTTCATTGGTCAGTAAAATCTCCCGTGTCTAATAATTCCAATATTAAAATCCCAAGGGGGCTTCACTTTGCAATCATGAAAAGTTCCCCAAAGTCGTCATACAATTTTTTTAAATAATCCAGACAAAATCTCACCAAAAAAAAAAAAAAAAAAACACACCCTTGATTATCTTTACATTTAAAATACCTGTAAGGATTGTATTCAAAACTTGAGAAACTTCCAACCACATTATTTTCCTGAGAAATGTATCATTCATTCATGCACTAAATTTCCTTGCTAATAAATCCTAATCATAACGAGATATGATAAAACACATTAAAATTACATTATTTATCATTCATAAGTGGAATCCTACCTTTACCTTTCTGTATAGCTGCATCTCTCTGTCCAACATAATCACCGCCGCCAGATTCCCGCTCTTTCATCTGTTTGATCTTCGCCACTGCTAAATCCAAAAATGCGGGTCCCATTATGGCCCATGCTTCGGCTAAATAAGCTCTAACAGATTGCAACGCATCGTTGCGGGTGTTCATCTTCAGCAGCTTCCTGCACACGTGATCGTCCCCAATCGCTGCCTCTAATTCATCCTTCGTTTTTAATAAATCCTCCGTAAGCAGCTCACTCCCCAGCAATTTCCCAATTTTGCTCGTCCAAATCCTCTCCAAGGCTTCGGAATACTTGCCGTGTTTGTCTACGAAGCCGCCCAAGTACTTTACCGTGCACTCCACCGCGACCGCGCAATATGCCGCTTTCATTGAAGCCGTAGTTTTGATTCCCTCCTTCTTATCCAAATCTTCAATCGTTTTAAGAGTATCTAGAATAGTTTCGGAGACCGAACCATCGGAGATTTCGGTTTGGATTGAACGGAGTAGAAGGGTTTTCTTGAACCGGAAATTGCTGTTGGATATGGGGAGTTGGACGAGGATTTTGTTGATTAATTGATCGGAAGTTGAGTGCCGAAGAAGAAATTCCATTACCCATCGTGAAATGTCTTCGTCCATTTTATGTTTGAAGATTTTTGAACCAAGAATTTGAAAATTGCAGTAACCTACCGGAGGCGGATATAATAATTAATAACTCAAACTTTGAAAATTTACATAGGTAACCTAAATTAGAGAGGAAAGACTATAATACTCCTTAGAACCCAGAAACAAAAATGGGAGCCTAAGCTAGCCAAGACCAAGTCTTTAGCAGTTCCAAGAACCCTTCAAGAATCACAGTTGGCCAACAATGGCATTCCGATTCAATTATCAAAGAATGCTGCCAAAATAACGTGCTTTGATGAAAATAGGACTTTTCCACAATTTAGAGAATGATAGGGGGCGATTAGATTGACAGTTGGAAGCAAAATGACATTAATGCTCCGCATAAGTAATTTAAGAAGATGAAAAAACTCTTGAGGTCTAACCTAGTTTCAACTTTCAATTGAACCCTTCATTGAAACTAGTCCATACCCTTCTTCTCAAAAACGAAACTAAATGATTTAATGTTTAATTACATAATAAAATATTTAGATAATTGATTAAACTAATAAACAAGTGTTTATATAAACATATTTAGGGGTTAGCTCGGCAGTTTGTTTGAGATTTTTGGATGTATTATTCAAGAGGTTCTGAATTCGAATATCCACAGCTACTAATAAGGGATAACTACTAAAGGCTTACCTGACTATTAACTTTAGAGTCCCGAATGACTAATTGAGGTGTTACCAAAATAATATATATAATTTCCCTTGAAGCCAAAACAAATCGGAGAATATATATCTTTACATTAAAACCCATTCTAACTATTGACTAATGTTCTCTATATAAAGTTGAGATTTTAATTTTGGATAGAAAAACATAAATCATTCTATAAAGAAATTGTAAAAACGACACTTACAACTTTTTCATACAAACTTAATGTGACAGTTTGTAATTGATCAACATACATTTGGATAGATAAGATCCATTATAAACTGATGAATCATAAATTGTCACATCAAGGTTGTATGAAAAGATTGTAAAAAATAGTTGTAAGTGTAGTAATGCTCAAAACTGATCAAATACTGAAACATCATCCATCATATTAGTTGAGATCCGATGGTTTTGTAAGTTTTAATTTGTATTTTCAACTTTGTTTCGGGCGTTTTGTCATTTTAGAAACAATAATACCATACTTACAAAGATTTTTATACAAAGTGATGTGACAAAAAATGAATAAAAGAGTGAAACAAAAAGTCAAACTCATTAAATTCACTCTTCTATTCATTTTTTGCCACATCACTTTGTATGGAGATCTTTGTAAAATTTTGTTATAAGTGTAAGTATTACTCTTTTAGAAAAGAGTTATCAGTTCTCAATTTTGAAACACTAAGGTCTTAATTTAATAGACCAAAACCATAGGGGTAAAGTTGGCACCTGGCAAATTTTTTTTCTTCATGTTTTTGTGTTATTCTCCAGCACAAAGGGTCATTTTGTCTTTTTCTTTTCAAATCAATATTTTGGGTTAATTTGAAAAGTTTCCCTTTAACCCAATTTTGGTCATTTTTCAGTAATCCTTCGGATTAGGGCCAACCAGCGAAAATACCCAAACGTAGAACATTCCATTCGTGAAAACCCGAATAAATCCGCCCTCCACTTTCGAGGGGTCTCTCAACTAAATTTACCGGCAGACATCTCCCATCAGGTTCGCTTTTTCTTTTTTCTTCTGAAAAAAGTTTTGTTCGTGTTTGTTTAGATTCTGATTCTTAGCATATTTTGTAGATTGGTTATTTTATGATGTCGAAGTTAACAGAAGGGATGGAGCAGTGGAAGATTGAATTAGAGCAATTGTTGCAACAAGGAATTGAATTTGCTCGTCAAATTCCTCCGACTCAACTCTATGCTGCTCTCGGTGTCTTGCTCTTTACCACCACTCTTCTTTTATTCTGTGAGTCATGCTACTATTATTACTTTTTTTTTTTTTTTTTAATGAAATTGGATGCAATATGTGCTTTTTTAGTAGAGATTGTTTGAAATTATGTGGCTGTAATGATGTACAGATTCGAATATATTGATAGTTTAGTACCAATTGCTATACCTAGCAAATTAAGGCGTTGAAAATTCTGGATATGGCTACAATGCTAGCCCTACATACACAATTGAACATTTATGCTAGAGGAAGCGTCTCCAGCACTGTTTTCTGAGGCTTTTTTTAATCCCAACTTGGTCGACAGTGACTGCTTCAAAATGTGATTTTGAGAGTGATGGATCGTAGAAGAAATGCTGATTTTGATTTTGTGTTTCTCTTTTCTTCTGTGTAGTACTCAAGTTAATCTGAATTAGTGATCCCTTAATTATTACTATTCCATGTCATGCAGTGTATTTTGTGCTTAGTAAACATGATATAGTGAGATCTTCCCTATTTTACTAATTGAAGTTAAGAATTTGTAATTATTGTATTGATCTCTTTGTTTGATTTATTTTGCAGTTCAATTGTTCAAACGCTCAAAGTCTAATACCATTGTACTCACTGGGCTAAGTGGAAGTGGGAAAACGGTTATTTTCTATCAGGTAAGTTTGTGGGAGTATTGGGTCTCTTCTTAGAAAGTCTTTTTTGATACCTGTGAGTATGTTGTGGAAAATCTGATAATGTAGTTAGGTTCAGTTATTAGAATTTCTTCCTACCAGTCTTGTTGCTTGACTGAGATTATACTTAGAATTTGCAGTATTAAAGTTGTTACATTGTAATCCAAATAGAAAACATGAGAAAGAGAGAGTACACAGAAGGGTTGTTGCACATAATCTATAAGTTTAGTTACAATACATTAAAACGCCAGCATATTTGGTATATTTGAGAATAAAACCAACAATAATTTTTTTGCCTCTATAGTTCGTTTTCCAATGTTTCTGAAATTGGAAAAAGAAGAAGGGGAAGAAATAAAAAACCAATGAACAAGGTGAAAAAACAATTCATGATGTTTAATGAATAGACCAATAGTAATAAGCTTTTCTTTCAACTGTTAGCAAATCAGTCCATGTTGGTATCAGTCACAGATGGAGGATGTAATTCCATGAGGCTATGTCTAGAGAAGCTTGGATTGAGAGAATTCGTCAAGGGTACCCCTTGGTTCAGTGGCTTAGAACATTGTTCTTGTGTTAGAGGATTTGGGTTCTATTAGTAGTATTATTGATAAAAGAGAAACGTGTAACCTTGCATGTAGCGTAGAGCTCTCTATTCATGTGATCCAATAGCTCCCTTTAAATTACTGGAATTGATATATTGCAAATATCAACTATTAAGTTTCTATCTTTTTCCTGTTAGTTTATTGGACAATTTCCAAGCATAACCGCAATGAATTTCTCATAAGTTCCTGAAAAAGATCTGGTATGTCTTACAAATTTTAATCTGAATGTCATGGCATATATCTTGTTTCAGCTTCGGGATGGTTCTTATCATCAGGGTACTGTTACATCAATGGAGCCAAATGAGGGCACTTTTGTGCTGCATACTGAAAGTAGTAAGGTGGTGTATCTTAACCTGCTGTGCTCAAATATATACAGAAATAAGCTCATTGAAACACTTGCTAAAGGAATCTGATTTTTTTCCAATATTATGCTTTCATATAAAGTGGGGACATGGCTCAACTTGCCCTCCAAGTTGAAGATTAGTTAATTGCATCATTTTTCTCTTCCGATTATTGATTGTGAACCAATTTAAAATCATTAACATAATTTGAATTGTCACCTTTGTGCCTTTACAGAAGGGCAAAGTAAAGCCTGTACATCTTGTTGATGTTCCTGGACATTCCCGTCTCCGACCCAAATTAGAAGGGTTTTTGCATCAAGCAGCTGGCATAGTGTTTGTTGTGGATGCTGTGGAATTCTTGCCAAACTGCCGTGCAGCTTCAGAGTAATTAAAAGCTTTATTATGCAGCTTCTGGTTGCAGCCACATCTGCACACATGTGCACTCAGAGAGTCTTTGATTAGATTTGTTGCCTGCAAAGATACTAATATTTGATGGCTTATGTGGGACAGGTACCTGTATGATATCTTGACAAACTCAATTGTTGTCAAAAAGAAAGTTCCAGTTCTCATTTGTTGTAACAAGGCAGACAAAGTGACGGCACACAGCAAAGAGTTCATCAGAAAACAAATGGAGAAGGAAATGTATAATTATGAGTTCTCTTATCTTTAGGTTTCTGATATTTGGTTAATTTACTTTTTGCATGGTTTAAATAATTATGTTCATCATCCTTGACATATTAAAAGAGACTCTTTTGGTTTGATGCATATAACATCTTGAACTGAGTGATATGCTTTCTTTTGGCTCATTGATGGTCGTTCTATCTTGTCATGCGATATATTGTGGAAACTCTTTATCTCTCTACATATTCTGAGTCATTTTTTGTAATATGTTCAATTTACTATCTTAATTTTTGTTCCATCTCTTTTAAACATTTTACAGTGATAAGCTAAGAGCATCAAGAAGTGCAATATCAGAGGCTGATGTTACCAATGACTTCACTTTGGGGATACCAGGAGAGGCGTTTGCATTCTCTCAGTGCCATAACAAAGTTACAGTTGCAGAAGCTTCTGGTTTGACTGGGGAAATATCTCAGATAGAGCAGTTTATTAGGGAACATGTGAAACCCTAGGCGGCAGTCATGCCATAAGAATATAAGATATTTGTGAAGTTTCTGCTATGAAAAAAAAAAACTTTTTGAGTACAGCCTCAACCATTGTTAAAAGAGGTAAAGGAGGCTGAAGAAAATCAATTATTAGCCAGAGAAAAGAGGAAAGGGGAGATCTTAAAAAAGGAGAGAAACCCATTCCGGTTCGTGTTAGTATTTGATCAGTAGATTTGCTTGAAACAATCATAAATGAGAGATGAGATGGTTTGGTGTTAAAATGAATTACAACTAATTATTTGATTAACTGCGTTGACTCCTGGTTGTTTCTACATTATTTGGTATTCATCTGATTTTTCTGCAATTGCAGTGACTTCATTCTTGCTTGATATATTTTGCTTTCCTATCATTTAAGGTTAACTAAAGACTTGACAATGCTCAACTAGCACCAAGTACATCAGAGCAGTCATCAATATCTGAACTTTTTTAAACATATAGAAGGGAAAACCATTTGGTTAGCTATGATCCCGGTTCTGATTTGGAAATAGTGTATCAATTAATCAAACAGAAAATAATAATAATAAACAGACGGCACACTGGCTTTGATGAAACTAACATTTATCACAATGTAGCATGGGGAATTATAGGAAAATCGAACCTATTCAACTTGTCTATTTGCTATTAATCTAAAACGAGTCAACTCTACAAGAGATTCAGACTCTTGGGTGGAAGAAGCAGTTTAAAATCTCTGGGTGAATTCACATGTACATGCATATATACTTAAAACAGAGATATTAACATTACAACATGAAAATAAGTTGAATGTGACAATCCATACATTTGGCATACAACCAATACATGCTTCTTCCAAAACACAACCATCATCAGCAGCGCATCAAGAAGATGCCTGATCTAATCTATCAAAAGCAACCGTTCAGATAATGTGGCAACTGGCAGAGTCCAACTTCTTCTCATGTCAACACCGATAAGAGTCTGGGAAACTTTTTGACAACACAAAGTGCTTCAGCCTAGCCAATGCAGCAAAGACGCCAAAGCAAGGGACATGCAGCAACCCTACCCCAAGATACCTGCTCAGGACAGGAACCCAGTAGGGTAAGAAGCAGTGGGAAACATGGTTTAAATTTTTGGTTGAATTTATCTGATTTCAATTGTTAACAACTAACAGTCACTGAGTTAATGAATACAGGTAGCTGCCACCCTTAGAAACAATCGCCTCTATATTAGAATCTAACGTTAATAAGATATAAACAATGCAAAAAGCTAAAAAGTATAATTTCTTTCAGCTAAGAAAGAACAATATTGTCTCTTTATTTTGTATTTTTACTGGATAGGTGAGGCAATGAACCTTAGAATAAAGTCAGACCCATATTGTGATTTCTGAAAAGGCTACCAGTTTATTAGACAAACTGATGATCATTATCGATTTTACTTTTCAAGTACCATAACCACGAATTCTACTCTCTTATTTTTATTTATTTTTTATTTTTATTTAAGTTCTACAGATATTTGAACACCAACACAAATGAAATACACCGTATTAATGGAGTAAATTTCTTGCATTCGAAAGGTACAAGTATGGGTTAGTTAACAGAAGGAATAGTTTCTTAACCTTCTCTCATACTGGAAGGAGGAGACAGGTGTTTCCACAAAGATTCAGAAGGTGATATAGTCATAAATCAAATTTGAATCAGTAGTGATCGTTCACTTACCATATTGGAGCCCAGGGTGATGATAAGTCGAGAAATGCATATGGCCACCTGTATAAAGGAGTATCATCATTATAAACCAAAATTAATTTTCTTTTATGTAAATAAAACAAATAAAATAATCACTTAAAAAGTACACTTTACCAAAGGTTAGAACAAGCATGGATGATCCATTGGAAAATGACAAATGTACACGTCCATAAGATATAATATGCAATTCGAAACAGAGGAAACCTCTGAAGCAGAAAAAAAAAAAAATCTGTAAATATTAAGAAGGAATAAAAAATCAAAAGCCTCTGAAAACATCAATGATATCAACATACCAAGTCATTTAAAATGACGTCACCCACGAGGACAACAGCATTGACTGAGTGCATAGAAATAACAATCTGCAGTTAAAAAGGTTGACACAGTTATCAACTGAAAGGGACTTTTAGTTAAAAAGGAAAGCAATTCAATGCATGATGCAAGAATAAAGAATGATGATTGTAACATATTAATAACCCTGCTAGGTTGCAGTCTTCTTTCACAGCCTAACTTTCTTGACTGAAATAAGAAAATGAATATCTTTAAAAATATAGAAAATTAAATTCTGAATTACTTATTTCCGAATAGTGGTTTACTAGTTCAATAACTNGCACACTGGCTTTGATGAAACTAACATTTATCACAATGTAGCATGGGGAATTATAGGAAAATCGAACCTATTCAACTTGTCTATTTGCTATTAATCTAAAAAGAGTCAACTCTACAAGAGATTCAGACTCTTGGGTGGAAGAAGCAGTTTAAAATCTCTGGGTGAATCCACATGTACATGCATATATACTTAAAACAGAGATATTAACATTACAACATGAAAATAAGTTGAATGTGACAATCCATACATTTGGCATACAACCAATACATGCTTCTTCCAAAACACAACCATCATCAGCAGCGCATCAAGAAGATGCCTGATTTAATCTATCAAAAGCAACCGTTCAGATAATGTGGCAACTGGCAGAGTCCAACTTCTTCTCATGTCAACACCGGTAAGAGTCTGGGAAACTTTTTGACAACACAAAGTGCTTCAGCCTAACCAATGCAGCAAAGACGCCAAAGCAAGGGACATGCAGCAACCCTACCCCAAGATACCTGCTCAGGACAGGAACCCAGTAGGGTAAGAAGCAGTGGGAAACATGGTTTAAATTTTTGGTTGAATTTATCTGATTTCAATTGTTAACAACTAACAGTCACTGAGTTAATGAATACAGGTAGCTGCCACCCTTAGAAACAATCGCCTCTATATTAGAATCTAACGTTAATAAGATATAAACAATGCAAAAAGCTAAAAAGTATAATTTCTTTCAGCTAAGAAAGAACAATATTGTCTCTTTATTTTGTATTTTTACTGGATAGGTGAGGCAATGAACCTTAGAATAAAGTCAGACCCATATTGTGATTTCTGAAAAGGCTACCAGTTTATTAGACAAACTGATGATCATTATCGATTTTACTTTTCAAGTACCATAACCACGAATTCTACTCTCTTATTTTTATTTATTTTTTATTTTTATTTAAGTTCTACAGATATTTGAACACCAACACAAATGAAATACACCGTATTAATGGAGTAAATTTCTTGCATTCGAAAGGTGCAAGTATGGGTTAGTTAACAGAAGGAATAGTTTCTTAACCTTCTCTCATACTGGAAGGAGGAGACAGGTGTTTCCACAAAGATTCAGAAGGTGATATAGTCATAAATCAAATTTGAATCAGTAGTGATCGTTCACTTACCATACTGGAGCCCAGGGTGATGATAAGTCGAGAAATGCATATGGCCACCTGTATAAAGGAGTATCATCATTATAAACCAAAATTAATTTTCTTTTATGTAAATAAAACAAATAAAATAATCACTTAAAAAGTACACTTTACCAAAGGTTAGAACAAGCATGGATGATCCATTGGAAAATGACAAATGTACACGTCCATAAGATATAATATGCAATTCGAAACAGAGGAAACCTCTGAAGCAGAAAAAAAAAAAAAATCTGTAAATATTAAGAAGGAATAAAAAATCAAAAGCCTCTGAAAACATCAATGATATCAACATACCAAGTCATTTAAAATGACGTCACCCACGAGGACAACAGCATTGACTGAGTGCATAGAAATAACAATCTGCAGTTAAAAAGGTTGACACAGTTATCAACTGAAAGGGACTTTTAGTTAAAAAGGAAAGCAATTCAATGCATGATGCAAGAATAAAGAATGATGATTGTAACATATTAATAACCCTGCTAGGTTGCAGTCTTCTTTCACAGCCTAACTTTCTTGACTGAAATAAGAAAATGAATATCTTTAAAAATATAGAAAATTAAATTCTGAATTACTTATTTCCGAATAGTGGTTTACTAGTTCAATAACTGGAGTAACATAATATGTGTAGAGATAGTTAATGTAGACAATACATTTTCACATGGGTTTAAGACTTGGTTAAAGGAAGAATTTACTCCATATTCAGCCACCAAGATCTTCTCTAAAGGCACTGTATTTTGAGTTTCATTCCTGGGATTAGATATGAAGTTTGGAGGGCATTTTACAGCTAATGAAACTAACTAAACCGTCCTGTGATTTATGATTACCTTTCAAGAAATATGATGGCCCAAATTGTTTTCAAATAACAATACAGTTATTTTGGTTATTCAACATGGCATTAGTTTGCAACATTGCAATCAATGAGAGAACAAAGAGTTTAGACTACATGCATAGCTAAATAAGGAGTACAGCAGAAAGAAGAAAACAAGCAAATGGGTTTATAGGTAGTACTTACCAAATTCAGACCAATATCAGTTGGTAATAGAAATGGATAAAGAACGAGCCAAAATACAATATCAGTAAGAATTACAGCTCCGGCACACATCTGTTAATAGAACAAATGAGAAAGAACTTTCATGAGCTTAAATCTGATATATTGATAAAAAAACCACTTGAAATATGGTTTTTCCAGTCACAAGCATGCAGAAGGGGGCAGCCAACAAAATAACTGAAATCACTTGGTAATCAATCAAGAACCAAAAGGTCAGGGGTTCAAGTTATCTTGACTAACACTATACATAAAAACTATGTATCCTAACTCTTGATTCTTTCTTGTCACACCATGCATCCTATTAATTACATCGACTTTTTAATTTTTACATTTCCACTAGCTGTGTGCTACATCAGTTTGTGTAGATATTGAATATTATATCCCACATGTAAGGCTTGACAGCAATCCCAGTTTAGAATCTAGTCAAAACACAAAAAATGCAAGAGATACCTGGTTTCAAACCGAAATGTAAAGATACATGCATATAGCCATTATGGATAAGAATATATGGGGTTGATATCACCCACATTAGCAATTTTTAAACTTATAAGGACTAATGGAGAAAAGCCACTGAAGTGTTAGCCCCATCCAGAGAAATTTTACAACTTACATCTGAAATATGATATAAAACCACTTAAAACAAGGTTCCTTTGGTATGACAAAAAAGAGCATGTAGAAAGATAGTAAGAAAGATTTCCAGTTTTAAAATAAAATATATAAGATCAATGCACCATAGCCACCATGGATTTGAATTTATTTGATGTCACGCCATTAGAAGATTTTATACTTAAAAGAACTAACAGAAAAAAAAAAATCATTAGAATGTTGGCCCTAGCCTCTCAAGTACATGCATGTCAGCAGGTCTGCAATCAGAGCATTCTTCACTTCCTTAATTACCAATACAAATTCATGAAAAGTTCACGGCACTTTCTTGTTGCACAAAGTACTACAAGTGCTGTGTCCTTGTGAAACCAAAATAAGGCCAACACAGCTTAAAATAACTACAGACAAGGTAACCCTAATCTCACTGCTATTTTGCCAAATTATTTCTGTTTTATGCCATCAAGCAAAATTATGAAGCGGATAGAAATTGAAGTCCTGGTAGGTTTTGACAACAAAATACATAAAGTTTACAAGAAAAGTTCGTAAAGGTTGTCTTTTGAGCTATGAATAAGTATGTGCAGGTACAGTTGTGATTGCCTCCTTACAGTTGTTAGGAGAAGACTTACCTGAAAAATAATTTGAAAGGCATAGCCCCATACACCAGCAGTCTTACGAGTGCAAGGTTCTGCAAGGGTGTTAGAACCTTTGGAAGTATTGGGTACATCTGCAGTTTCCTTGAGCATGGGAGGTATGTAGTGGTGTTGTTCTGCATCTATGCTTGGAAGATAAGACCCATCATCATCAACTCTGCTGTGGGATTTGCATAATAATCCATATATGGACATTGAGGATCCAAGCTACAACAAAAAAGCTGACAGCATGAACAATTTATGCAGAAAGACATTCATGTAATTCAAAAACATAGGTTACGTTAATTCAAGAACCGAGTAAAAGTTAGAAACATTGTTGGTGGTCTACCAATTTCTGACAATCAGAATTTGTTTTTTTTTTTTTTTTAAATACAGCTAAATCTCTATCAAATTTCAATATAATGTATAACTAGATCTGATGTGAGACATACCCCGAAATAGATTGTGACCAGAGCAAAAGTCCACCTGTGCAGCATAATGAAAGAAAAAAAATCACAAACCGAACTCTCAGCAAAAGCAACATTCATTTTTCTTTGGAGTCAGGAAGAAACTGAGATAGCATCTCTTAGTTACAAACAACCAGATGAATTCTTCATTTCCTTCTCCCTCTCTTTATTTCAGGACTTCAGTGAGGTACTCAAAAACCTCTTATTGTAAATGCATCCATAAAAATTAAAGTTGACAATATACTCTCTCTCTCTCTCTCTCTCTCTCTCTCTATATATATATATATATATATATATAGAAATTCACAGATCCCAACCTAAAATGTGGATTTCAAATTCACTTCTTAACACATGAGTGTATGAGGTAATTCTTGGCGTCATGGACTGCTATAGAAGTTTGCAAAATTTTATCTTTTTCATCGAAGTGAGTTCACTACAAGAGACATGATTTGGCATACTCCTATCAACTCCTAGCGCCATGAGTTTACTCATCCACTCACGAGTCAAGGTGTGGATTTTTAGAAAAATGCAAACATCCATAGAAGAGGGCTCATTCATGAGTGCATGAGTTGATATATATGTCTGGCTCTTACGAACAGCCTAAGGAAAATTCTATTACAAAGGGGGCTCTTGAAGTATCTACAGATTATAAAGACTAACTACGTAAAAATAGACAACTTACTGAGTGTAAAAGAAAAATATATCAACACCTCCAGCAGCAGTGACAATGTTGGCAGTGATCAACGCAAAAAGAACTGTGAAAGCAATCACTCTATAAAGAAGCAACCAAGCAGGATGGATACATGTAAGACATGTGTTCCAAGCTTGGTCCTCATACAATGACCCAACTGTTTCTTCCTTGTTTCCTCTCCTGTCAGATTTTGATTTCTTGGAGCCTTCATATTTCCATATTATAACGGATGCTGAAACGATGGCGAATAAGATCCATAAAGCACAGAGGAAAACCCTTGAATTCAACCAGTAACTTAAAGAGGTTGTATCTTCAGTCATGACAGGCTACCGAGTATGCCTTGAAGATCCTGTTAAGAAGCCCAATATATTACTTTTACTGACTGCACCATTCATTGAATTCTCAGTTTTATATCCTTAAACTCAATTTTGTAAAAGTAATGGATAGTTTCTAAAATGAAGATGAATTATGAGGACAAGAGCTCCAAAATAACAATAATAATGAACTAACATAATATAAAATGAATCACTTGAAATTTATTTAATTGAAGAAAGGCGTATACAATTGATGTCCAAGTGTCCAAGGACACACAAAAGAACAAAAAGGAAAAATGAACTATTCAAACAATATGCATATTCTTTATGAGAAGAAAGGAAATTTTGAACGCAAGAAAGTCTTAAAAGGCTTAGTTTGTTTTACAATTTGAACTGAAATCTTCACACAATTGAGACCCAAAATCCAAACTGCGAGGTCAGGTGAGTGGTGTTTTACTATTCGAACTAAAATCTTCACACAATTGAGGCTCAAAAATGCAAGCTGTGAGCTCAAGTGAACGTTGTTTTACTATGTGAACTAAAATCTTCACACAACTGAGGCCCAAAATCCAAACTGCGAGGTCAAGTGAGCTTTCCAATTAGTTCATAGTAACAGGACAGGAATTCAAAGAAAAAAACTTTATATATATATAAAATAAAAGGAAAGTTAGTTGAGAAATAAAAACTTCAATCACAATCTCTATTCATGCATGAAAACTGACTAATGAAACCATAATTCTACAATACAAGAACAACGAGTAACATAGACATATCAATACATACAAATGGAGTGTCCACTGAAGAGGCGATCAGATTAAATAGAAATAAAAGGATCGAATATTCTTACTCACTCACTGCTTCGCACCAGTGAAACACAATTAATGAATCAAAGGTGACTCCACGTAAAAGCAAATGCTTTGCAGCTTCTTCCAAACCTTGAAGAGATAAAGAGAGGTTAGTGTGTAGTTACAGCTACGCCTGTGGCCTTTGTCGTCTTTATCTGATCTATCTAACAATTTTAGAAAATAGAGAAACTGAAAAGAGTGTAAAATTGGCCACAAACCACGACTTTTTCGTGGGCAACTGATTTCACATTTATTTTCTTTTTTTAATTCTCAACTTTAGAAGGGATGACAATTGCTTTACGCCTTTAGCTTATCAAGTTTATAATATTATAAGAATAAATAAAACGATTCTATGCACGCATTATTATTTTTTATTAATTTCCAAAGAGGTCAAAATAAAGTAACATAAACATACATGCTTTATAATAGTTTAACCAATTCTCAGCAAACGGTCAATTGTCTTATTCGCCAATTTTAGCTCTATGAATAGCCATTAAGCAATAATATATTGAGGTCCTAGTTAGCTGAAGATCCACAGAGAAGGATGTAGCTAGTTAGATAATTCTATATATAGTGGGATAATCTTCTCCAATTTTTCAGTATACGAGTTTTAAGATTCTCAGAAGAAATTCGTTTCGAGAGTTGTTACTAAATTACTCATAGGTATCTTAGCTCATATAGAAAACATTGCTTTAAACAACAACGTGATAGAAATCAGAAAGCAAGAATCCTAACCTTTGAGTAAGCCAGCAAATTGATTCACTTTCTCTGGAGATTAAGAAAATGGGTTCTGCAGAAACAGTGAAGAAGAGGAAGTTTATGAACGTTTGAGGAAATTATAGTATACAAGTGGATAATATTAGCGAAATGGGATTTTAAAGTAGTAAAATTTTAGAGGAGAGTGTTTTTGAGAAGATTTATTTGTGTGAAAATGACGTCGCCAATTCCAAATAGAAACCCTTGCCGTTCTTAACTACCCAACAAATGAGAGTTTCGAAACTACTATTCCCAATATTATATTCGACTCTGAAGTCTGAACGGCTAATAGATCCCGAACATCGGGTTAGTTCAGTTTATTTAGTGCTCCCAATAAGAGGTGGAACAAATGGATTGGGTTAATCCGGCCCGTAATGAAGAGGGTTAAATCTGGACAGTCAATAAGGTAGGCCGGGTTGAACCCAATCCGGTAGCAACTCCTGATGGGCCGGATTGCAAAACAGCAACCCGTCGACCCGTGCGTTGGCCGAAAAATAAATTAAAAAAATTGAAAATTTTATTTATTTTTTTAAATTACTTTTTTACCCCTGAAATATAGCCATTTTATAGCCGTTGAAGGGTATTTTTCATCATTTTCTTTTCCCCTTTTTTAATATAAATTGGCCTTAAACTCTCACATTTTTCTCACAACTCAATTTCTCTCATATTCTCTAATCTCTAATATCTCAATTATTCATTTATTCTCTTAATCTCTTGTTGTCAATTTGCTCATATTTTAAGTTTTATTAGTTTTTACAATGTTTAATTCATATTTCCAATTTTCCAATTTTCCAAATTCCAAATTCCAAATTCCAATTTTCAATTTTCAATTTCCAATTCTCTTTCTTTAATTTTTATTTATTCTACATCAAATTTTTTTTTTCAATTACAATGGATAGATATTTCTCTATCATAAATTACAATGATGAAGAAAACTACTATCCTAGTCCTAGTCCCGCTGATTTTACTAACATAAATGCAGGAGGAGATTCAAATAGTCCCGCTTTCCCATTCTCAGAATCCGATACACCTCAAAATATGCCCCCGATTCCAACAGCTCCCGATGGTTTTAGAAGTCGTCCTCGTAATCGTCGTCTCGTCCAACATCATCTCAAGCTGAGACAGGTTCATCAACTACCGTCGAAACCAAAGACAGACACACATCAAACGTTTGGGTGCATTTCGACAAGTTTTACGAGACAGAAAATGACGTTCAAGTCAAGAAAGTGAGATGCAAATACTATGAAAATATTTATAAAGCTGATTCAGGTAATGGTACTAGTACTTTAAAAAGGAATGCTAATAAACATATTAATCAACATGGAAATAGAGAAAGCAATCAAACTAAAATAACTAATATGGGTACTACTTAACTTTATAATTTTGATGTATATAGGAAACAGTTAGCTTTATATATTGCTGCAACTGATCAACCTATTAATATGGCTGAAGATAAATATTTTGAAAGATTTGTTCAAAATTCATTTTTTCCAAGATTTAAAAGTTATTCTAAAACTGCAATTGGAAATGATTTAATAAAATTGTTTAGAAAAATGAAATTAGAATTAAAAAATAAAATACATAGTTGTCATGTTAGTCTGACTCTAACTGCCGATATTTGGAATGGTAGAGCTGAACAAGATTATATTTGTGCGACTAGTCATTATTTTGATAATGAATTTAAATTAAATAAATCTTTATTATGATTTAGATTAATGGATGTGGATCATAGTGGTTAACAAATTTATAATAAAATTGTTGAAGTTTTAGAAGATTATAATGTTCTTGATAAAGTGATAAGTATAACTTTAGATAATGCAAGTGCTAATACTATAGCTATAGATTTTTTTAAAAGTAATTATCGTTTGTATAACAGTTTGAAGTTTTTTCATCAACGTTGTGCATGTCAAATTATTAATTTAATTGTGAAAAGTGGTATGAAAACAATTAAAAAAAATATTAATAGAATTAGAGCTTCTTTAGCTTGGATTACTAGTAGTAATAAAAGAAATGCTGAATTTCAAGACGTTTGTATAAAATCAAATATGTCTCCTAGAACTTTTGCATTAGACGTGCCTGTTAGATGAAATAGTACTTATTTAATGCTTGATTCATGCTTACCTTATGCTAATATAATTAGTTATTTTGTAGCAAATAATAGAGGTCCTCATTTTTGGTAAAAAATGATTGGCAAATAGCTAAAGTATTTCATTCTTTTCTTAAAATTTTTTACCAATCCACTTTACAACTTTTGGGTGTGTATTATCTTACTAGTCCATTGGTAATACATACAATTATAAAAATTTCCGAGTTATTTATAAAAAACAAAGACAATGAAATTTTAAAGGCACCAATTAAGGCAATGGAATTTTTTTTTTTAAATATTGGGAACTCATTCCTTTTCTTTATTGTTGAGGTGCTATATTTGATCCTAGAATTAAATTAGCAGGTTTATAAAATGGTTTTGACAATTTATGTGAAAATTTACAAACCGAAGTATATGCCAATCAAATAGGAGAGGTAAAAAATAGACTTTTCGAAGTATATTTCCAATAAGAAAAAAGGTATGGAAACCCGCAAAGAAGAGAAACATCCAGGGAAGCTGCATCAGAAGAAACAAATGAAGACTTCTACTCTTGGGGTGCACTGAATAGGCCGAAGAGGACCCGAATCTGAAGCACAACCTCCTCTTCAGAAGCCCTGTAACACCTTCTTTTTCTTACTAATATACTCAGACACATACAGACATAGTATATGAAATATAGTTGGGCCCAAAATTTTTCTTTTATTTATAAAACATAATTCTTTACATATACAAAAGTAGTATACACTAAACTTATACACAAAGGACAGTGGTGCCTTTTCTCTCCGCTCTGTGACGTTCATCCGACCGCCGCTTACCTATTTCTTGCAAAACATGGAAAAACAATAGGGTGAGCACAAAAAGGCTCAGTAGGTAAATCCTCTACTACTTATCCCCGCAACTTATTCTTGGTTCTTTCCTTACTCTAATCTTACTCTTCTTCATTCTTTCTTTTTCTTTTCTTTCTCTGTTTCTAGTTCTCCCTGTTCTTTTCTTTCTTTCTTTCTAATTCTTTCTATTCTTACTCACCATGACGAACATCATGGTAAAATGCATGAATGCAATGCACTCACAATAATGCATAGAAATGTATTTTCTTTCTTACTCAAGCTATTCTTTTCTTTTCTTTTCTTTTCTTGTATGCTTGAGTTTTCTCATTCTTATTCTTATTCTTATGCCGATCGGACTCGGTTGATGCATAGATTCGGAACTCTGGTCATGTGAGCAAGTACAGTCCTCATTTACATGCACTCTTACGAACTGTACAATTTCTTTCTTATTCTTGTGCCACTCAATTAAGGTGACATGCATGTAGGACTTTCTTCTTAGTACAACCCTCATCCACATAAACTCTTACGGGTCGTACAATTTCTTTCTTCTTCTTATGCCACTCAATTAAGGTGACGTGTATGTGGGACTTTCTTCTTATCACTCATGAGTTCCCCCATCACAACAACCTATTCTTTTCTTTTCTCTAGCACCCTCTTTCTTTAATTCTTTAGTGCTATTTATTTGTCCCGACTCACAAGTCAAAAAGAGTTAATAGAAGAATTGTATAAAGAGCAGATTGAGGTCTTACCAGGAGGGATTAGTAGATTAGAGGTTCAGTCTACCTTACTGGAAGAGATTAAAGAAAAGCAAGTAACTAATGAGTGGTGTCAGAAGATAGTTCGGTTAGTGCATGAAGGCAAGACACCAGAATTCCTTTTGTCAGGTGGTGTCCTTCGTTTCAGGAATCGGTTGTGTATTCCTCAAGACGATGAGTTAAAGAAGAGAATTCTTGCAGAGGCTCATGACACCCCATACACTGCTCATCCTGGAGTAACCAAAATGTATCAAAATTCAAAGAAAGGCTATTGGTGGCCAGGTATGAAGAAAGATATTGCAGCTTTTGTAGCTAAGTGCCTGGTTTGTCAACAAGTAAAAGCAGAACATCAACAACCGTCAGGGTTGCTTCAGCCACTCAGTATTCCTGAATGGAAGTGGGAGCGTATTTCGTTGGATTTTATTACAGGTCTCCCTAGAGTACAAAAAGGGTATAATGCTATATAGGTAGTTATGGATAGATTGACCAAATCAGCCCATTTTCTTCCAGTAAAGGAGAGTACCACCTCAGATCAATTAGCCTAGATTTATGTTAAAGAGATAGTGAGATTGCATGGAGTACCCAAGATTAAAGAGATAGTGAGATTGCACGGAGTACCCAAGACAATCGTATCAGACAGAGATTCCAGATTTGTGTCAGCTTTCTGGACAAGTTTACAAAGGAACTTGGGTACCAGGTTGGCTTTCAGTACCGCCTATCATCCTCAGACAGATGGCCAGACAGAGAGAACGAACCAAGTCCTTGAGGATATGTTAAGAGCATGCTGTATGAATTATAGAGTATCATGGCATAAGTTGTTGCTCTTAGTGGAGTTTGCTTACAATAATAGCTACCAGTCTATAATTAAGCTGGCGTCTTACGAGGCCTTGTACGGTAGACGGTGTAGATCTCCACTGTGTTGGGACAAGATAGGCGAGAAAGATGAGTTAAGTTCAGCTCTTGGGCCAGAAGTAACTCAGAAAATGATTAATGATGTCAAATTGATCAGAAATAGAATGAAGCAAGCCCAAGATCAACAGAAAAATTACGCCAACTTGAAGAGAAAAGATGTGGAGTTTGAAGTGGGTAAAGTGACCATTCTACCCCTAATTAGCAAGAAAAGTGGGGAGTAAAATGCAAGGAAATTTCATGGAGAATATTTTAGAATGGGGGTGAATTTGTAAAGAATTAAAGGATAAGGATGAAATTTCAAGAAAATGTAAGGGTAAAATCGGAAAGAAGGCTTAGTTTTTTCTTGAAACTTTACCAGAAAAATCTGTCGGCTCTTCGCCACGGCGAAGAAATCCAGAGCATCCGTCGCCGCGGTGAAACTCCTTCTTCGCCGTGGCGAAGTCTGCACTTCCAAAAATCCGCAAGACTTCACCAAATTCAGGACATCCAGACCATTCTAACTACTTAAATAACATGTCCATTTAACTTAGGTCAATAAACAACATTTGAAAAAACCAAATGAATATGAGACAAGGATGTACCTCAAAGTGGATGTTACAAGCTCCACCACCAACAACAACAACAACTAATGTACTGTCCTCCATGCAGTCGCAGAGTAATGAGCTTCAACAATATTTGGCAACCCTTGAAATGTTACCAATAGATCCAAAACAGAGAGCCAACATTGATCTCTTAGACTATTGGAGAGCCAGAAAATGTATTTTTCCGGTATTATCAAAACTTGCCTTGGATGTTTTCGCTGTTCCTGTCTCAACCGTCTCATCCGAATAAACATTTAGTGCAGGTGGAAGAATTTTAAATGAAAGGAGGACTAAACTTTCTCAAAAAATGATTGAAGTCCTTACATGTCTTCGAGACTGGGAACGATCGCGCCATCAAGATCAATACGAGATTGTCGATGATACTTTAATAGAATCATTTCAATTTTGTAATATAGATGATACGGATGAGAGAGGTCCTAGTAAACCACCCCAAATTAGTTGTTTTGTAAAATGTAATTTGTAAATTTATTGTCAATTATTGCACTCTTTTTTCTTTATCAAGTTTTTCTACCATTGGATTTTTCTTGGTGAGGTTTTTAATGAGGCAATAATTATTGTAATTTCTTATTTTATTTTTTTGATAAATGAATAAGTCTAATTTTTTTATATTCCAATTTTATTGTATTAAAATTGAATTAATATTTGAAATGTTAACAAAAAAAAAAAATAATTTAATTGAATTATTGATATTTGAAAAATTAACTAAAAACAGTTACATTTATAATTTATTCATTTATAAATAAATAAAAAAAAATAGGGCTAACATGGCCCGACCCGCCGCCTAACCCGACGGGTTAGTGTTGGTGGGCTGGGCTGGGCTGAGTCAACCATTTTCTCCAAAATAGCGGGCCTAACCCGACCTGCCTTTGTTGGCGGGTGGGTTAGGACCGACCAACCCACCAAATTATGTAACCCGCCAAATTATGCAACCCGTCATGGGCCGAGCCAGGTCGGGCCGAGTCGGACGGATTACTTTTCCACCTTCCCACTCCCACCTAACAAATTAATTAACATAAAGACCTCTCTATCATTCACAGCGCCAACATTTATTTTTGTCCTCAACCACTCCATTTTTTCATCTCGGACTCGGTATACTATTTTCTTTTTAATACCCAGGTGTCTCGATCAACTTTCCAAATTTCATTCAACACTTTACAAATCTAATGTGTATTAAACATCTTACAAACTTAATATTCTAAAATAAATCATAGACAGAAATATATCCAAGATAATTTCAAAGTGTTTGAACCCAGAAAATCTGGAAACAATCCTTCTTAAGACTCCTCCCAAAATATTTACGAGTCTTTAAGATTTTGTTAGAAGATTTGTACAATATCATTAAGCTTGCGCATTTCTTTTCTCTAATTTGGAATTCATGGTTTCAGCAACAGAACTGGGAAATATGAAGAACAGTTACGTATACAAAATATGCTTTTACTTGAGGAAGGTGCAAATTACAAGCAATCTCAGATATATACAACAGTCTTCTCAAAACAAGAAAGAACAAAATCTGTCATAAATTTACATTTCAATATACTCTTTTTCTTTTTCAGTAATAAATGAATGGATTAGAATAATAAATGATAATGAGTAATACAATTACAGCACACTCCAAGTAATATCTTAAAGTTTCTTTCCAAGTGTTTGTAGCTTATGTGATAATATCATACTATTCATCACATTAATTCATCGTCTACAAAATGGTATCAGTTAAGACACGTCACTTCGGATGGATCCCCAATTGGGATTCTACTTGGATGTGTAGTATTAGTATTATTCATAACAAATACTAATCCTTATATACCAGCCTCTTCAACTTACCCTGCCAAAAATATTTCTTTTATATTCCCTTCTGGCTTAGCTTATCCGCAATCTGATCAACTGGTAACGATCCTAAAGGGACTATGGAGTCCAGTTCAGATGAGTCACAATCATCATATTCTTCATCAGTGATGTCATCCTCAGGATACATATCATCTTCGTTATAATTCTCAGTTTGAGAACCATCTTCCCATTCTGCCATTAAAACACTGGTGCCATCTTCACTTGAGAAAACTAGGGCTGGATAGGAATGCTCTGTGGCCTGTGAAATACCCTCAAATTCCTCAACCTTCTTCAAAAGATCATCAGGACCAAGATCAAGATTGTTCTCATCCAGCAACAAAGCCTTGTTTGATTCAATCGCACGCTCCCAGAGGGAGATCATCTTAGGACTTGATCTTACAATTTTTGGGTCAGGGTTATCATTAGGATCCCCTGGAAGGCATCATGGAAACATCAATGAACAATTACAGCTGTAGCGTAATGAAATGAATCATCAATATTATCAAACAGCAGTAAAATGAAATTAATCATCAATATTATCAAAAAGCAGTGAGGATCATATGAAAGATTTAGTATATGGGAATGTGGCACATTTGAAAATAGCTTTAGAAAAAGAAAAGAAGGGATAATTTGATTAAACCGGTTACTGCCAATCATAACATATCATAATTATGATCACATTGATCCTTCAATTTGAGATTTGGAAGGACAGAAAGAAAGATAAAAAGGAGAGATGAAAATGATAAGCTCCCTGGTTTCAAATGGTCATAATCAATATGTTGTTGCACTTGAGGATGAAAGTTCCCGGAAACCGCTTCCACTGCAACATTTGATATGGACACTGATAGACCACCTATTACTAAGGTCTACAAGTTGAAGGGGTGTAAAGGGCACTAAGGGCAGATTGGTGGGGATGGGAGCTAGTAGCCAACAAAAGCTTGATTTGTTTTGAAACATGCCAAAATCATACAGCCACATCCATTCCTGTATATAGAATCTACTATTGATGATGCCTATGGCGAGCCCATGTAATCACCTAGATTATCCCTCTAACCAATATCTAAATGCCACATTACAGTCTTCTTAATTTGCGGTCAAATGAAATGATCAACAAGATCATTTCAGAATCACATTAACAGTTAGGAGAGATATTTGAGTCAAAATCAAGTGTTTTGCTACCAATCATAGCAAGACAAGAGGTATTTAGCGGAAATAATTTACTGAGATTTCAATTACCCATTGAAAGAGAAGAAAGAACCAAAAAAGCAATCTGGCTACTCCACCCTACTCAAATACATACCTGGACCATCCAATCCACAAGCAATGTCTAAGTTAACAGGCACTGAAGCTGAAAGACCTTCTGGATACATTGATTTCCAATCTTTTCCTCTCCACATCAAAATCTGCTCATCATCAAAAGACAATAGCACGCAAGGAACCATTTCCTGTCAAAAACATGACAAAGAGAGGGTTAGAGAACATGGAATCCAAAACCATAGGGGCAATAGCACAAAGAACTTGAAATATAAAAGACCGCAAACAATTGCAATAATGCTTCCACAATTGTATGAATACTTGCACAGATTTGCCATTTCTTTTAGTACCATTTAATGAATTTCTTTTATCTTCCATGCATAGCAAGTTGCCATATCTTCTTGAATTAAAATCATGGAACACAGAAGGCCTAGGGACTTAGATATACACTGAAAAAGGTGCACAGACCTTAAGTTTAGCACCTATTTTCTTGTAATCACTCGCATGCATTCCTTTGCAGTCAATCCTCACCAATGGACTTCCTTCAAAAGCATTCCTAACATCTTTCACTAGGGTAATGTACACTCCGTTTTTTGCTGCAATGTGAACGAAGAAAATTAGTGCTTAAACTTACAACTATAGAAGATGAAACCATAATGATGCAGATACACTTCCCTAAAAAGGCACAAGTATATGAGTACATCTTACAAATACTAAATTAAAGAAGAAGCTGCATTTACAAATCCAACGAAATGCAATATCTTCAGGACTTCATTTGAAATATAAAAGATGTGCAAGGGGGTTGTCAGATTTTAATGATCAAATTCAGCAGATTGAGTCTGGCCAAAATAGAAATGGGCAACTAGCTGTCTAAGTAAAGCAATCTAGACCATATCATACAAAGCATAGTTTGAACAAAAAATTAGGATTTGGGGATGGTTTATGCTATTGACACTTTAATTCTAACTTTTCACAGTCATTAAAATATAAGGGGTGTGGAGTAGAAGGAGCTATGAGTAGGTACTCAATAAAGTCACACTTCAAAATAACAAAGTAATATAAGTATTTTAGAACATCAAGCACTACCACAAGTTCTATTTCTCTATGGCTTATGATCACATATAGGAATTGCAGACTAATAGCTTACCTAATTTACAAATAGGCAAAAGATATTTCCCTTTTTCTCGAAACTCATCAGCTTCATCCTTTGTCAATCCTTCAGGAGCTTCTTGGATAAGCTTTGGATAGACTGGAGCAGCTGGTTTCCAGAGCATCAGTGGGTACTCTGGACGAGAGCGATAGTTATAGTTTCTGCCACGAAAAAGATAAACTACACCACCAACTCGATGAATGATCTTCCCCCCAGTTTTTTCCTGACATTAAATATTAAGATTGAGAACAGAGATAATAAGAGTTTTACCTACTTTCACCTTTATAAAATAAGGGCATTCAGAATATAATTCAGCTTGAACATTTTTTACGAGAAGCAAGCAACAAGCTCGATCAAAATTTCAAATAAATGAGGTGCTTTATGTGGATTTCTGCATGTTTGATAAGAGCATTGGACAAAGTTACTACCACAAAGGATATGTTTGTCGCGATGGAAGAATCCTCAACAGGAAACAAAACCAACAATGTTACCTAAATGTGCTTCTTGCCACAATATGCAACATGGTGGAGCACCTCTGTACGGGAACTTGTTTAGAACAAAAAAATTTCCAATAGAATGGCTAGGACTCTGATTTAAGTGCATAAGATTTCTTTCAAGTGCAGCTTTGTGGCACAACTATTCTAATTTTTAAGGAAAAAATTGTCTTTAGGATGCTTTAGGCAATTTATGCTTAGGAGCGAAATTGAGAGACAGAACCATCTCCATTCCATTTAGAGTTCAGTGGAAATAATTTCAGGTTGGTGAAAACATTTATACTTATACCAAATTGTGAGCGACACCATAGTCAGCCTACTTACAGGCCAATATACGCTATATAGATGTATGAGAAGCCATCGCATACTACATTTCAGAGGAGATTATCTCATTAAAGTAAGCTACAAACAGTCATATTGTTGCCATACCAATAAAATTAGTTAAAGAACTCAAACCTATAGCATGCATTGAGCATATCACACATACTTAAAAAGCTAGTGAAAATAACTATAAAAAAACAATACCTCAAGATGACGGCAAACATTATCCATATCAACAGTCGGAACACCTTTGCATTTAACTTTGACAACACGTCGTCGTTTCCAATGTGTGTGTATCAAATCCAGCATATTATGCGTCAACCCGTCCCTCCCTAAACCATTTGAAGACCAGAACTCCATCACCAAATCAAATTAAAGATCACCAGTCGAACTCAAAGTTACTCCATAAACTTAACTAAAAACTTACCAAGATTAACTTGACGATTATCAGACAAAAGAGGCTTAACAAGCATACTAATTTCCCACCTCTTCAAGGGTTCTCCCAAAATCTCTTCTCTCGTTTTCGCTTCCCGTGGATACTTCCCAAAAGGGAATGGCCCCGGCGTTTCCACGAATTTCACGCCTTTCTTCCCCGGAGGCGGCGGGTTAAACGAGTCAAAGAGAGGGATTTTCTTCTTTGACTTTTTCAACGGCTGTTTTCCTGTCCATGGACGTGGCATTGTCGGTGGAGCGAAGGGCAAGAAAGCCGGCTCCCTAATCGCTAACGGTTTGGCTTGTGGAGTCTCGGAGTAACTGTACTGAAACTCGAAGGGCGCCCCGGGGAGTTGATAGGACACGCCGGACTCTCCCAATAGGACAGTACGGTCCCCCTCAGATGATATGACACCCGGCTTTACGGGCTTGTAGTAGCGTGTTTGACGGTGAGGGAGTTTGAGGGCTGGGTTTTGTTGAGATTTCCGGGGATTGGGAGGGGTAGTTCTGGGTTTTGGGGGGTATTTGGGGATGGGAATGGGCGGTGACGTGGAAGGCGAAGGAGCGGTGGGGTCGTTTGGTGGTGGCTTTGAAGGGAGGGAAGAGAAGGGATTAACCCCTGGTAGAGAAGCAAGAATCGCCATTCAAGGTGAACTATTTTTACTGGATAAGGCGTTCGTGGAGAGAGGGAGCTTCAAGCTCAACTCATTTTCTGGTTTTTCTGTTGCACTGTCGACTCCAGTGGCAAATGCCAATGGATATTTTTTATTTCATTAAACGACACCGCACAATGAGAGCGGAAGTTTTCGAATTTATTTATTGCTCCTTCAAACGTGGTCGTTTAATCTTCAAGAAAACGACGCCGGTTCCAGTTTTAAGAAGTAAGTAAAATTCAATTTCAGGTTTTCCTGTTCCCTATTAAGTTACAATTCGATCTTATAATTTTTTTCTTACTAGTTTATAATTGATCAATTTATAAATAAGTCTTTTATACTCATTAAAAGTCTTACCTGTCATGTTGAGATTGTAAAAAAATTTTTTATAAAATTAAATGGTAAACCAACTTATGGGAGAGTCAACTGAGTGAATAGTTTTCAACTCGGTGGTAGTGACTAGTGAGGTCGTTTCAATAACGAGAGCGAATGATATTCAATCAATTTACAACCATACGAAATTAATCGTTTCATTTCCCACCTAAACGACGTCGGTTCCAGCATCTCACCATCCCCATTTAATTAGATCCACGTGTCGTTATCTCTCTCCAGTTTCAATTTCCATTACTTTACTCATCAAGGGCCTTCATATCCGCACAAGCATCAACTCCGGTACACAATCCACACAGGTGCATGCTAAACTTTGGCTTTTTCCACTTTCTACCCTATAAAATATAAATTATAAAAGAACGTCAAAATTGAAAGTACCATAATATTCTAAAAAAGTAAGGGTCTTTTAGCAAAAAAACCCACAATACACCCATAGTCTCTAACCCTAAAACACATTATAAAAGCCGCTCTACAATCCTTCATCTGACAACTCCCCTCATTTCAGAGTAGCCGTCTCAACCTTCGTCTGCAGCCATGCAGATCTTCGTCAAAACCCTAACCGGCAAGACCATAACCCTCGAGGTTGAGTCCTCCGACACCATTGACAATGTGAAGGCCAAGATCCAGGACAAGGAAGGCATCCCTCCGGACCAACAGCGGCTCATCTTCGCCGGCAAGCAGCTCGAAGACGGCCGTACCCTAGCCGACTACAACATCCAGAAAGAGTCGACTCTCCACCTGGTCCTCCGCCTGCGTGGAGGAGCCAAGAAGAGAAAGAAGAAGACCTACACGAAACCAAAGAAGATCAAGCATAAGAAGAAGAAGGTTAAGCTCGCGGTGTTGCAGTTCTATAAGGTGGATGACTCTGGAAAGGTTCAGAGGCTGAGGAAGGAGTGTCCGAACGCCGAGTGTGGGGCTGGGACCTTCATGGCTAACCACTTTGACAGGCACTACTGTGGAAAGTGCGGGCTCACTTATGTTTACCAGAAGGCTGGTGGTGATTGATTAGGTTGTTTCGCTCTTTTTTAATATTATTATAAGTAGTATTATCATGGATTTTGTGTTTTATGGTTTCGTGTTTTAGGGTTTTGTCATTGTTTCGTACTATGTTTAATACTGGATATTGGAGCATTTGCTTCTAAAGGTTCTCCATATTAATTCCTGAATTTTGGATGGTTTATTTACCTAAGCTTACTTCGTTTAATTTTGGTAGAATTTCTCCTTCCTGCCTAGTATAAAGATATAATCTAGAGTTTTGATTTGGTGGGTGTTAAATTTTGAGTGATTGAGATTATTGTTGAACGATCTCCTTTCATAACCTTGAAAGTATTATAAATTTTATGTTTGTTTTAGGAAGTATTAGTATCCTAGATTTTTCTGAGAATGCTACTGTAAATTGGATCTAGTTGAAGCAAATTTGTGAATGGATGAAGGATGCTTTATGTGGCTTTTCAATGCTTCAAAGAAAATTTTCACTTTAATCTGCTGGAGATAAATGTTATTTGATTGTCTGTGATGTTAGTTTGGAATCTTATGTCTGTGATGTTAGTTTGGAATCTTATGTCTGTGATGTTAGTTTGGAATCTTATCAGATGAATTTACCCTTTGTCTCACCTGTGGATCATAGAAAGAAAATCTTTGTGCATGTACTCAAGTTGAAAAAAAGACTTCAGTTAATACTTCTTGATTTGTTTGTGGATCATTGCATTTAACATCTTTGTCAGTGGCATTGCCTATTGGAATCAGTCCCCTAGTACCTTAGGATCGAGGTATTGTTCTCTATACATGATGTTTAATTGGAGAGCTTAATTTGAAAGTCGTTCAGAACTTTGTCAAAAGGTCATTTTATGATGATATGTTGTTTGGTGGCCTTATTAGTAATACATAAATAGTATTGCTTGGTCACCTTGTTAATAAGACTTGAATAGTATTGCTTGGTTGCCTTACTAGTAATGTATGAATATTAATATGTTATCTGAGTTTTCATGCAGTCTTTATTAGTCTTCTTATGGTTATGCTTGAGAATAAGTTTTCAGTTTAGATCAAATTGGTTTGGTATTTGTCATCATCACCTATCTGGTATACCAGGGTAGCTTAAATAATGGCTTCTTTCTAGTTAAAAGATGGGATGCCCTAGTTTAGTTTATCCCTCACCTGTCACATTCTCTTATCTCTGTAAATCTTCCCTCTTCGGACACAAAGTTCTCTTTAGTATAAAGTTCTGATACCCAGTAAACTTGTAGCAAATTCATTATCAAGTGCTCGTTCAAAAGCATTCAAGCTTCATCACGAGCAAGCAATTGTTATGGTTATTTATCATTGTTAAGAGAGTGACTATTCTTTACATGTTGGATCAAGAAATTATGACTAGTTATCAGTGTTCCCGTTCTCATCTCTAAAACCATCTTCCGCAATACAAAATGTGATAAATATGTTCCTAAATCTTTTGGAGTGGCTTTGTAAGAATGGCAATTATGTTTCAGTCATGTGCTTAGCTTTTGTATAGAGCTTGTGCATGAATGTCACAGTGATTGATTACGTGCATCATTTTTTGTTCTTTTGGTGTTCAATAGCCATTGGTCTGTGCACAGTTCTTGCAGTTCTATATCAGTTTCTATGAATAGTTGTCGACTTGCCTGTTTTAATGGTATTTAAGTTACGTTCACAACATAGTATTACGCTGTATATTAGGGTTCATCTACAGTAATGATAACATTGTTCCTTCATATAGATTTTTGGATCATGGTTTAAGGATTTAATTGGATTAAAATCTTTTATTTTTCAGATGGGAGTGATCATCATCTCATTATCTCCCATAAGCTTGTGACTGTTGTAGTTGGTTTCAGCGCTCTGCTTTTAACTTCTTTTTCTGTGCTAAAACAAATGTTCATTCGCAATTAAATGCAATCACCCTGAGACTACATGTTGTGTGTGGTTAATTTAGCCGTCAAGAGGTTTATACACTGGAAGAGGAGGATCTTCGGGGGTTGACCCAATAAAAGGGAAAGAGAGGAAGTATTGTTTTCGGGTCTTAATAATACTGTTGGATTCTTTAATGAGTGCTGTTTAAGTTCCATGTGATATCTTTACTAAAAGTTAAATATATTTCTAAGCTCACTAAATATATTTGTAAATTTCTTAAGAATTTCATTCGTTTAATAATTCTTATTTTAACAAAAATACCCTTTTACTAGTTGTCTTTCAAACTTATTTGTTTTCTCTTCTATGGTACAATTTTATCCAAAATCAATATTTTTAAGAAACACAAATGTCCTATATGAAAAAGGATGATTAAGCTACCAAAATTGATCCATTAATATAGGAGATAACTGATGATTGTTTAATAAGCAATAATTCTTTAATGCAAGTTCAACCAATCAATTGTGTTGTACATATTGGGAGAGTCCTTGTATTAGCAGAGAAGGTTTTGAGGAAGATAAATCTTACTTTCGTTCATTGGGTTTATATCTATTTTAAATTATGAAAAATATTAAATGGGGCTTCAAAAGAAATAAGTGGAGTTTAAATAACAACACTTACTTCTATTTCGAGAAAGTGATGTTAATAACTCGAGGTTTTTTTTTTCATATTAAATTTTGTTCATAAAAAAGTGTAGCTATTTAAAGAGTCACAAAACTTAAGAGTTGTCATCCATATGTTTCCATAAAATGAAATTTTGGTTGATTTAAAGAAAACTATGTGATATTGTTTTCTCTTTTTTCCATCCAATTCGTGATAGTATATGTAAGCCCTCACACTTATTGAAAATGCGACATAACCCTATTTTGTTTATCAAATCAATTAGATTGTGAAATGATATTTTTGCCTAGTTCAACAAGTCCTGAAATTACATACAACCCCAATCACAAAATTTAAAAACACCCCATTCACAAAAATATCATAAGAAACACATATTGAAGATCCATTTAATAAAATGTAATTTGATTGAGTGTCAGGCAATTGCTACACCATCGACAACAAATGAGAAACTCTCGAAGAATGACGACGCTTAAAACATGGACAAATCAACCTATCAAAGCTTCGTTGGATTCTTAATTTATCTCACCAACACAGGGCCATATGTTGTTCATGTCATAAGTATTTGTAGGAACTCTAACATGATTTCCACTCAATTATAACAATTAATCCCAAGATCTGCATATTGATTATAGAATACCGAATTTAAAGATTAAGGGTTAGAAAAACTTGATTTTGTCATGACTTCTAAATTTCTTGAATTCCCTGCAAGTAGTGACTAATCTTCTTTTCTAAAAACGTTTCAGAATGACAACTTCCAAATGAGGTTCAACGTACAATCATCTTTTAGTAAAGAAATGTAGCCAATTTATTTCAATATATTGGGCCCTTCCATTAAAAGCCCAATAAGCTCTAAAGACCATTACAAGCTCAAACCCACACTTGTCATCAACCCAGATTATTCAAAATGAAGTGTATTGGACAAATTCTGGAATGACCACATAAGCCCATCAAGATATCTCATTAGACTATGCATTTATTCGGTTCTATCAAACCAAAACATAATTAATGTTAGCCCACAATTAGGAAATTTTATAACATTCTCCCACTTGGGCAAAATTAATTATTTTATTTTATTTGAAAAAAAGAAAACAATTTTGACTCTCAGGTAAACATATATTGTGTTTTAAAGTGACTACTATTTTAAGAAAATAAATAGTCCAAAGATAACACTTTGACCAACAATCTAGTCAATATGATTACCAATAATGAACCAAGACAATCTTTACATCTTTAATCGACATAAGATCAATTCATTATTACAATTACTAATAATCAAATCACATGGGTCAGTAATCTAGGAGTGTGGTAGGAATAACCGCCCAACAAAGTGATTATGACATGTGCTATTTCCTTGTCAGTCCTCATCATGATTTCTCTATAACCTTTATGCTTCAAAGAAAAGCTAGAGAAATCCCACAGCTTCCAACGAAGCCACACAACTTCCAACGAAACATGTATGTTTCATCTAATAACCTTAGGATATCCAACCATCAAACAGACCTATACAATTGTCATTCTCAAGAGAAACCTTATTCTTGAAACACAATGTTGTATTTCACCATCAATATACAACTATCATTCTCAAGAAAAACCTTATTCTTGAGACACAATGTTGTATTTCACCATCCATATTCGCATATGTATATGTATATGTATATACAAATATATAAGAACCAATGATCATGATCAAAATAAAATGACATAAAGTCAACAAAAAATATATCTCAAACTCCCACGAACTCAAAATATCAAAAGACCCTAAAACGCTCATGTTCTTACATGACATTAAAAAAACAAGAAGTCTTAGTCCTTTAGTTAGGGGATCAGCCAACATAAAATCAGTACTTATGTACTCTACAAGAACCATATCAAACTTTCACAATCACTCATTATGGAAATCAAACCATATGCATCCGAAGTGACAATAGAACATTTCCATACAAGAAAATAAGCAAACAACTCATATAAACAATGAGGTCATCCAACTTCAGTTCAGCATGTCACAATGTAAAATATTTTTCGCGCGCATGTAACATTATAGAATAACAATATCATATCATTTCTTATAATGTCATGGATCCACAATTACAAATATGATATCTAGTTTATTACAAATCCAAATGATATCATGTAATAAACTAAAGAAAATTCCCACTAACTAAGTGCTTCAAGAATTCAAAACACAAGCTATCAACATGTATGTAGTAATCTATGAGGACATAGTATATATATAGCACCTCAAGAATTTATCCAAAAAGCCCCATAAGCCATTATAAAACATATACCAAAACTTATTTAATATTGAGGCATTTGGTATGACTAGCTCACCATATCTAATTACCTCTTGAGATATTAGATTTACCATATGTGAGCATAAAATATAGTCTTTAATAAATATTTCATAAGTTTCTTTAATACCACTCAATTATCTATATCTAGATTAAAGAAAATCTATCCAATGTGGTCACCCAAAAGAAAATTAAATTTCCTCCCACAGACCTTAAAATATATGTGAACATAAAATATGAAGTTTAAGGTCCAAAACTAGTAGTATAAAAATCTTTACAAAAAGACATTTGAATACATAAGAGAAATGACATTTCTATGAAATATATATACCTTTATGTGAAGCTCATAGCTAGTAACTTA